AACATTTAGGATGAAGATCGGACAGAGGAGGACAACAGCAGAGTTGAGCCTGTTGGACATGCAGACACTGGTTTGGAGAACGCTACCAATTTTTCCCTGGAGTAAGTTACTGGCAGAACACATTGTTTTAATGATGAGTCTTGAGACTGCACATAGACTAACAAAAAACTTAGGGTCATACGAGTGATACTGCTCTTAAGAAAGTGGGGCAGTCTTTTTTAGGTCATGTGTCATTTTGGTTTTACACAATTTGCTTCATGGACCTTTTTACAGCAGATTTTAAACAACTCAAAAAGCCTGTGTTAAAGATGAGCGTCGGAAACTTGACATTTCTAAGTACTGATGCTGTAGTAGATTTTCTACCTTAAAGAAGACGCTGATTTGATGGAACTCTGAAAACTTGACAGAAGGAATAGGGTCAGTGCTAGCACCAATAAATAAAAACAGGCAAGAATTTCAAAAGGGGAAATCTGGATTCCTGTCACCGGTTCACAGTCTACTGGGAAGATGTGCATGGCGGTCATACAAGTTGTGTGGCCAGAAACCTCATACTCTATGAATGGATCAAAACTGGGAAGTTCCTCCTAGTTTAAAAAAGTCAGTAAAGGCTATTTTATTTCATCGTGAGATGCAGCAAGCTTGACCTTCTGCATTTCATTGCAAAGAGTCGATCCATACCTCAGTATGGAATTAATGAGAAAATATCCCCTTCTACCTTTAAATTAAACCTTTTACATTGACTAAACTTAATTTTTAAATAGAAATAAATCTACTCCTATTAGTTCTGAATTAAATTATGAATTACATGCAGAGGCCTTAAATGTTAGATAAAGATTGTGGTCACATCTATTAGGCAACACATGCTGAGTTTTACTCCATTCCATTTACAAAATCTGTTACATTGTAAATTCCACATGCTGCTTGCTTTGGAGTAACTTGTTGACATTTCATCATATGCTACTTCATTCTTTTCTGTTTTGATATCATACTGCTTTGTGTGTTTGTTTGAAGTAGTTGGCCCAAACTTCTGAGAAAAGCAGGAAGCAAGACTGAAACAATCTCTCTTAGGAAGGGAACCATTTCCTTTTGTTTTCCATTTTACAGAGTTGAACATTTGAATTTGGGATGGGTTTTTGTAAAGAAAATGTGAGTGCCTAGACCTTAAATGTGTATTTTTGAAAAAAAGAAGGTTACTGGCTCAAGCAATAGAACAAGTTAAACAGTGTAGGCTGGATAAGACGACTGACTGTTTGTTTGTTTCTTTAAGTTGCGTTTCCATTTATGACAGTTCCAGGTGAATCATACTGATTTTCACTTGTTCTCTTCCTCAGCGCTCAATTCCCTTTTAAGCTGATAGGAAAGTCGGAAAAAATGTTGATCGCAGGGAGCCGTAGTCATGCCAATAGCAAAGGGTGTCTTTTGGAGGTGAAAGGCGTTCCTTGATTCCCGTGAGCTGCGTTGCACACCAGTTAGTGAAAACTTAGCCTGAATGTACAGTGAGCATGAAATGAAGTTAGCCTGTCCAGAACCTGGGGCAGGGAACGTTATCGAATGCTGTAGCACTCTCAGTCTTAAAACATTGGTCCAGGTCTGAAAAATAACACGTTTTTGGCTGAAGTCTCTCAGTCTCCTGTTGTTGCAGTACTTTCTTGAGCTAAGCAGTGGCAACAGGGATAGAGACCTTCCATTTCTGTTGTTTAAAAAACGAGATGAAAAAATCAGACACACATTGAGGTGTCTAACAAATGTAAAAGTTACCTTGAAAATATATTTTAAAAATTTAACGTGGAAGAACTATAAAGCAAACTGCATCGCAGAATTTTTGTTGACTTCTTAACAATGCGTGGCCTGGTTATTCTCAGGCTCCAGATGAAGCGCTGCAAGCTTTTGGGATGGGTCACCATATGATCAAGAGCTTATGGAAGGAAGTAGAGAATCTTTTACTGCTATCGTAGGGCATTGGTCTTGCTCTCTGCTCCAATTGTAGATTAAATTTGATTTGTACGCTTATGAGAAACACTCTCTCAAAGATCTGTGTATATATATGTAGTGCCAGGAAATATGGAAAAAGTATGTAATACTAGGGAGAGGCATAAGCCACAAATTTAGATTGTGGCTTTTGTTCAGATCTCTCACTTCCAGATTACTGAGAGGTTTGGCCTTCATGTATTATTTTCTCATTTGGGTATTTATAACTCTCTATGGTTTATGGGCTGTATTCCACCTTTCCAGATGTGGCCATGTTTCAAATGCATCAGTAGATTTGGTCCAAGTCTATTTCTAGAATTCCTGCATGTCTCCTTCTGAACCTGCACTTTCCTCTTTCACTTTTTCCCTCCCTGCAGCAAAAAGTATAGCTGAAAACTAGATGCAGAGTTGCTTCAGGAGCAAATCTGCTTGGTTTTGAATGCTGTAGTTAGATCTTACGTTGGAAACTTTGCTTGGTAAGGAGATACAGATACAGCGATCTTCCGATAAAAGAAATGGAATTGCAATAAAACAAAATAATGTGTTGTTTTAAAACCTGAAGAATTTAACCAGTTAAAAATTTAATAATTCTCATTTGATTAAGGGGTAGTTATGTGAAAGCTAATGTTCAGGCTTAGAGTGGTCTCTCTCTAAGATAAAAAAAATAAAGCATGCTGGTGCTGTGATCAGCTTTTAGGCTTCTCAGGAAAAAATGTACATGGTATTTAAGGTATTTCTGTTCAATGGTCCAAACAGTTAAATTTAAATTTAAATTTAACTTTAGAGTAAGGAAGAAATAAAATAATATGTGTGCAATTATGATGATACCTAATTTTATGTAGCAAACTAAGTTTAAAAAACAATTCTTTGATTTGTTTTATTAATTGAACTATTTTTGATGATTGGTCTCCTTTCATGCCATCAGATTGATCTTCAGGTACGTAGCATTCAACAATGCTTTCATCACCATGACTTGATTTCTGGAATGGTTTTGTTTTTCTGTGTATGTTTGTGTGGGGTGTTTTTGGTTGTTTCACAGCACATGTTCATATTCCCTCATTCGTCGTTGTCTCACAGTGATATGGTAAAGCTCGTAGAAGTCTCCAATGACGGCGGGCCTTTGGGAATCCATGTAGTGCCTTTCAGTGCCCGAGGCGGAAGGTAATGTAATGTATAGCATTTTAATTGAACTGTAACTTGCCGTGTTTTGTCTTAGTTGTACTAATTTTTGTATTGTGTGCCTTTGCCTTCTGTAGAATATTGTGTGTTTTTCAAAGGGTAGTCTCACTGATTAAGAAAGGAGGAAATGCAAGTGTTCTGCCACTGTACTTGGGGTGGACTCTGTAATGGAAAGGCTCTGCGTAAAAGGAGTTAGAACTGCGGGGTTTTAATAGCGGTTCTCTTGTGATCTCACAGGAAGTTGAATTATGAGACATTTCCTTTTGGATTCTTAAAATTAGAATCCGCCACATTAATTCAGGTTGATATGTATGCAACATTTCCCTGCTGACTATTTAGAGCCACGAGTTCCCAAATAACAGCAGGAGTCTAAAGCAGAGGCATCCTACGCCTGCGTTTGGTAAGAGTGGAAGAGAAAACAATCATCACGCTTTCGATATTTAGTGTTGTCCCATCTGTTGGGGTTAAAATGAAGAAGTAAAATGAGTTGAAACATTCTGGTTTGGGGGAAGGTGAACCTGTTTTAGTTATGTGACAAGCTGGAACTCATGAAGTTGGAATGATTACCAAAAAAAGGTAAAGAAAGTCCTTTACATTATAAATATCATTTAGGGGATTATATTAGTAAACAGAATGCATAATCTCTAATGTTTACTTTGCTAAATTAGAGTTTTAGCATTTAGAGTCATTAACATAGTCTCAGAAAAATAGCTTAACTTTTGTAGTAAGTAATTAGTGGTAGATCTGAAGCTTTTTAAGTATGTTGAAAAATTATAATTCTTCAGGAATATAAGCAAAATTTATTTTGATGATGCTTATCTAACTATACACTATATCTTCCATTTTTAAGGAATAGAGGAACAAATATATTTTTTAAAAAGTAGTCTGTGATTACCCATGAAGGGGTATTATGTTCTCATATTTCAGTCGACCTAGTAGCAACTGCAGTTTAGTAATTAAGAGCAAAACTAACTTGAGAGATACACATATCTCCAATGTTAATATCAACGTCTTTTCAGAGACGATAAATGTATTTTTTTTTCCTATACCAAATACCTTCACAGGATTTTAAACACAGTATAAGAGCTTTATTTGCAGTTGTTACTTTAAACCCAATGCTTTCATAGCTGTACTGACATGTATTATGAGAAAATGTATTCTTTTTTAATTTAAGGCTGCTTTTTCTGAGGACTACAGGTATTAAGAACAAACTTCGTAATGTGGTATATTTTTCTATTCACGATCTGAAATTTAGTAAATTCAGTGTGGTGATGGAACGGGCGTGAGTGAATGGTACTTTAAACATCAGCTCAGAAGTAAATCCCCTGAAGTTGGAAATGGTTGAAATGTTCACACAGTTATCTGGGATTTAGACAGTGTGAAGGCCAAGAAGAAGACTGGTTTAGGAAGGCTGACTGCCTACGAAGTACTTATTTAATAAAATTGATGTTAGAAATGTATATTTTGAGGTTTTGAATGAGAATTTTAATTCAAGATTCACTTCCAGCCTGTTAAAGTGGTTGTGAAGTCTGAGGTGAAGCTTAAGCTGTTTGTACGTAAGAAGAGCATGTAAAATGAAAAAGCCGTAAACACAGAAATAAAACATCTCACTTTTTTTTAAGGATGCTAGCTATGTCAAGAGCTACAGAGGACTTTTAACTCTTTTGTTGTCCTGAATTTGGGATTATATGATGAAGTTTTATTACAGGAAAGCCTATTTTAAATAATAGTTGTTTAGAATTCAGGACATACTTGAAAATTAGATTCTGTTGTAAAGGAAATAAATTGTATACTGAAATTTATTTACTTTTTCTTCATAATGCTGGAGCTACCCTCACTGAAAAATGGGTGGTACATACAATTGCCGTCCGAATTTTTTCAAAACCCTCCAAAATTATCTGCTGAAGGGGGAAGATACTTGGGCCCGTGTCTTGAAAGTGTTGGAGGAGCAGAGTTGGAGAGCACCTCAGATGTTTCCAAAACCTTTCTCCCATGCTCTCTGCATTGTAGTGGAAGAAGAGTAGAGTTCATTGCTGAGTATTGATGATAAGCACTCGCGTTGTACTGCTGCCTTACCGGCAGCTGTGCCCACGCCGCTGCGTGCTTGTGGAGAGAGCAGAGACATTTTCTCCAGGTGTTGGCAGCCTGCAGTGTGAGCAGGGAAAGGAACGCACCCAGCTTCAGTTTGGAGCACTTGGTGGGAGGCTTTGGGTTTTTTTTTGGTTTGTGGGGTTTTTTTGGTTATTGTTGGTTGGTTGGTTGGTTGGTTGTTTTTTTTTTGTCCTGGTCCCCCAGCTCTTTTGAGCAGTGAAGATACACTTGGTTTTCCATTTGCTAGATTCGGAGGGAGAGCAGATGCTTGGCAGGGATCCTCTTCTGCCTGCTTGTTTCTTGCTCTAGCACATGGCTGCTCTTTGTTCCTCCTCTGGCTGCAAAGCACGCTGCTGTGTGGTCCAGTGAACAAGCTTACCTGAGCAGGGAATCTGCTCAGTAGAAACCTAAATATACAAAACGAAGCACAGGACTCAGTAAAGACTTTGAGGGATGTCCAAAAAGAAAAGATCTGATCTGTCATACAGCTTAGTGCATTGGCCTGTCATTGTTTTGTGTTTGATTGGTGTTCAATTCCAGTTATGCTGTATTTTCAATTATTTTTCTTCCAGTTCCTTTCTTGGGCTTTTGAAAATGTTACTTAATAGGCAATGGTTATTAAATCAATGATTTTAAAAAGTGAAAAAGTGTAAAAACATGCTAAAGCAATTCTCCTTTTTTTCCGCTATGCAATAAGCAGGGGCTTTCTCCCCCCTCCCCCAAAGCAAACACCCCAAACCACTAAAATTTGTATGCCATAACTATGTCCTTCATTTATATTGAGTAAGTATTTGACTAGTTCATGGTCTTTTGAGGGTTTGGAGTTAGATTTTGTCTTGAATATTGGATTTTGATCTTGAGCAAAATCTATAAAGATCTCTGCCTCATCTACATAGATGCTACTAATTGTTTGTAGTAAAACTGAGACTTTTTTTAATGAAGAGAATCTCTCTAATTCTCTGGGAAGAGTACTGTTGATTTGTACAGACATGGTCAAACTTTCTTCTGTGGATAAGTTTCCTTATTATCCTTCTATTTTTACTTCTAGAAGTTCATCAGTCCTTTATTGGCCTTTTTGATCATATGCGTTAGATAACAGAGGTTGTTCACCTTATCAAAAAGGAGGAGGGATATACATATTCGTCACCTTATGGTTGTGAAGTTTTTCAAGATAGAAGTTTTATATGCCAAACTGGCTTGGACATTTTTGCAATGGCATAGGTACAGCACTAAGCAGAATAGGAGGCATGAAAATGAAAGCAGAAGGAAGGACAGAATAGAAAGTGAACAGGGAAGTGCTTAGTTAGAGCGAAGAGGAAACAAATTAGTGGAAAGCATAAAAGGAAAGAAAATTCTAAATCTGTGCAAAATTTCCTTCAGCGCCAATCCTTCCTTCTTACTAGGTGCTCAGAAAGGAGGGCAAGCGCTCAGTCCCTTAAGAACAGCATTTGAGCAGTCCTGACTGATGGCTGATGGTATTTTGATGCATAAATGGGCTTGCACTGAGTTCTCGTCTGCAAGCTTAATAGTAATTATAGCACAATTTAGTGTTATGTGGCCTCTTCTACTTTTAAGAGTCTGTGAAATCTTCTCAAGCTCTATACCCTAGCTGTTCTTCTAAAATCCTGCTGTGTCTGTCTTTGGAAGGAGGTTCAACTGACACAAGAATGTATGAGATAACATCAGAAGTCTCTGTGAATAACAATATGGAAGTTATAGTCCCATCGACCCAAGACTACTGTGAAGTCTGCTTAGTAAAACAGAACAGAGAAGGATCACAGAATCACAGAATGTTCGGGGTTGGAAGGGACCTCTGGGGGTCATACAGTCCAACCCCTCTGCCGAAGCAGGGTCACCTACAGCAGGCTGCACAGGACCTTGTCCAGGCGGGTCTTGAATATCTCCAGAGAAGGAGACTCCACAACCTCCCTGGGCAGCCTGTTCCAGTGCTCCGTCACCCTCAGAGGGAAGAAGTTCTTCCTCATGTTCAGACGAAACTTCCTGTGCTTCAGTTTGTGCCCATTGCTCCTTGTCCTGTCCCTGGGCACCACTGAAAAGAGCTTTGCCCCATCCTTCTGACACCCACCCTGAAGATATTTGTAAGCATTTATAAGATCCCCTCTCAGCCTTCTCTTCTTCAGACTAAACAAGCCCGGCTCCAGGATTTGGATATTCATCTGAAGACCCCAGAAAGAACATCCGTTAATAAGTATCAGACATGTTACTTTGATGCAGAGCAGTGAGTCTGTAGCGCTCCGCCAGCTGTTCTTCCTATTGAAGCATGCCACAAAATCCGTGATAAACCATACAGCTAAAATCTGGCTGCTAAAAATAGTCAATCTCTGTTTTTATGTTATATAGCCTAAATGTCTTAAAACTATTACGGAAGTCTCAGAATAATGGGAAAAATAAGAGACTGGATTTTATTGCTTTTTGTCAGTTTAAATGACAAATTTTAACAAATTTTATTAAAAAACAAAAAACCTCAAAGGATGGTAGGCATTGATGTATACATAGTCCCCGTGCTAGAAAGTTGTTTATATGGTTTTCTATTCTGTAGTGGTTTTTTTTTTTTAACGTTTAGTGGAAGTGTCCTTCATTTTCTCGAGTTTATAAATCACTTTATATTTCACTGTCAAAGATTTATTCTTTTACTCAAGATACAAAGAAAACTAAACATCTAATGGCTGTTGTCTATACCAAAGTCCTTAATACCGCCTTCAAGGTGCCTCTCTAACAATCATATTCTTTTTGATCATCTAGTAGGTATGTGTTATCTGCATCTCCACTTAATCCTCTCCTGCATTTCCGACCTTTGAAGTCTCAAGGGTAGCCATGGTTTTCAAAAACATGTGCACTGGGAAAAGATTCCCCGTGGTGTGAATGTACCA